GAAAGTGAGGAGAAATCTTCTGAACAGGGGCGCAGAGAGCACAACAAATGCCAAAGGGGTATTAACTTGTTAATGCTTCTTTATGCTATCCAAAGCTTTTGGCATCCATGGTTTCAAATGGTTCTAAAGTACTTATAAAACTAGGGGGTGCTGGTGTTTTCTTCTAAAGTGTTTCTAAAATTCTGGTGCTGAAAATTTCAGAACTCTAACAAAACTTTCAAAATTTCATTATAAATGTCAGTTCCTAATTGGTTCTGTCATAAAAATTACCAACAATGAAATAATAATGAAATTTTGAAAGTTCTGAAATTTTCACCACCAAAACTTTAGCATCACTTTAGAAGCAAAGCACCAGCTTTAGAAGCAAAGCACTAGTTTTAGACACACTTTAGAAGCAAAGCACCAGCTTTAGAAACACTTTAGAAGCAAAGCACTAGCTTTAGAAACATTTTAGAAGCAAAGCACTAACTTTAGAAACATTTTAGAAACAAAGCACCAGCTTTAGAAACACTTTAGAAGCAAAGCACCAGAGCCCCCTAGTTTTGTAAGCACTTTAGACCCATGGATTGCATATACCTAATATGTGTGTGTGTGTGTGTGTGTCTGGCTGGAGTTACCCTTACAGATATAAACAACTTACAAACAAATTCAACTTACGAACAAACCTACAGAACCTTGCAGAATGAATGCTCTGAGAAAGAACATCTTGGCTTCCAATTTGATAATAGGAGTAAGTACATTTTCATTTCTCGGGGACCCCAAGTTCAGGAAAAGCCAGCCCCTTAACAGACTGCATATTGTTGTATCCAGTCATTTCTGATGGTAATGCCACACCCTAATAAAACAAAAATTACTGATAATAGTAATAATAATAATAACTTTATTTTTATACTCCGCCACCATCTCCCCAAGGGGAGTTGGCGTGACTTACAAGGGAAAGTACAAAATACAGAGTAAATACAAAACACAATAAAACAATCTATTAAAAACAAAAAAACAAAAACAGTTACAACATCATCATAAAACAATCAATAAAGTCAACAATGGGTTCAAGTGAGTGCCAAGCTCCCTAAATGGGGCCAATGGCAAGTGCAAGTTTCAAATAACCAAGGGCAAGGAATATCCTTAGAGAAAGTGTCATAGTAAGCCGACTGAGGGACTGGACCTGCCTACCTTACAATTTGAAACTTGTAGCCTGTTAGAAAAGCTCATTCATAGGGTTGCTATAAATCAATAGCAACAAAGGGGGGGGGGGTCAGTTAATTTCTATTATGAGTAACACAGCCTACTACAAATAAAATTACCTAGGGGCTGGACCAACATTAAACTTGGAGACGGTTAGCAAACTGAAGGGCAGTAAGAAAAAAATAGGAAGGCCACATTCCAGTTGAAGTGCACCTGCATGGCAGAATGAATACAATTTGACACCACTTCAACTGTCATAGATCAATGCAATGGAATTACGGGAGTGTAGTTTGGTGAGACACTAGCACTCTTTGGCAGAGAAGGCCAAAGATCGTGTAAAACTGCAACTTCCATGATTCCATAGCATTGTACAGTGGCAGGTACAGAGGTGTCAAACTGACTTAATTCTATAGTGTACCTGCACCCTCAATCAGAGAAGCAACAGCCCTGAGTCTGGAGGTCTTTCATTCATAGCCTCATATTAAGTCAAAGTTGACTTGACGGCAGTTAACAAAAACAAGACTAATAATTTAAAACGGGCTGAATATCTGGGATATGTGCTGTAGAACAAGAAGTGACATTTGGCCTTCTCAGGTTGTGTGGCAAGAAGCTAAACTGCCAGACACTCTAGAGGGCACCATTGAACTATATCAGAATTAATTCTGTCTCAGCAAGAGGTCTTTGGAAGGAAGGCAGAGAAGCCTGTCCCACATCCCGGAGCAGGAAAGTTTGGTTTGAACCTCTCTCCGGGAGTATAGGAGGGAAACATTAGGAAACGGTCCATGCCAAATTGGTTTGTCTGGTTGCTTGGCTGCTTTGTTCAGAAACCTCTGGAGTCTGTTATAATAGAAAGATCACATCTCTAATTCCCTGCTTGTGAAGTTTGCACAAGGCAGTCTGTCTTACATGGAAAGCCCTCTGAGCTTTCCTATCCCAGAAGTGTTTACAGACACTTTGTCACTGTCAGCCTTCCCTGCGATGACCTGTTTCGGCTCTGCGTGTGCTCAGAAGAGTCAGTTTAGGAAATGTAAAGAATCCGGTCTCAAAACCCCATCATGCCATCTCCCTAAACAGTGGCTCATTCACAAAGTAACCTACTTCTGTCACTGCCTAGCCCCATTAGTTTTCAGAACAAATTAGTCTCGATTTCAATAGGAATTTAGTGTCAGATTATCCATCTAGTTCCAATTCTGCTCCAGTACATCGGCCCTGGGGAAATATGCTGGCTTCCTTTTCTTTCTCCTGTAAAATAGATGAGTGGAAAAGCCTGACAATAGTCCCATAGAGTTGGACAAGCTTTAAATGTTCAACTATGCAGGTGTTACATAATGCACATAATGTAATAGGGATGATATTAAGGCAAAAGGGCTGCTATGGCTTTGCCATTTCAAAAGGGTAGATTTAGGGTTACATCTATGGGCAGGATCACCTTTGGGAAGGTCAATCTTCTGGTGAAAGCCCCACCTAATCTCTGGTAAAGAAGCAAACTTACAAGATAAAATTCTAGTTAAAATAGTGATAATATCATAAAAAGGAGCATGATAAGCTGTTCATCATCCCTCAAAGCTCAATAGCACTGGTTGTTTTTTTCTGGACTTCAGTCGAGTTTTTCCCAGGCTTACCAGGCGATAACAGGATTGAACCTGAGGCTGTGTGCATCAAGCCATGTATTCTGTCAGAGAACTATGAACTATCCACAAGGAAAATTCCAGCCTCAGATTCCTATTTATATTTTTATAGATCTACAATAACCTATTGCTGTTGCTTCTACCGTACATTTCTCAACTCAGGCACTAGGATGTATTCACTGGAAGAATCTGCTCAGAGGCTATATATTAGTGACAACTTGGACAATGCCATAAATATATTCATCAAGAAAACCAAAGTGCTCTTCCTGTAGGCCCCAGTCAATACGTCTACAATGCAAGAAATACAGCTTAATTGTGTACTGTTAGAAAACATTGACCATTTTTGCTACCTTGGCAGCCACCTCCACAAATTCAACATTGACACTGAAATACAACACTGCCTGAGCTCTGAGAGTGCAGCATTTTTACAAATGAAGCAGACAGTGTTTGAGGATCGGGACATCCATAGGGATACCAAGGTGCTTGTGTATAATGCTATTGTCCTCCCAATGGTGTTATATGCATGCCAAACAGGGACTATCTACAGACGTCATACTCAACTACTGGAATGATTCCATGAGCGTTGCCTCCAGAAAATCCTGCAAATCTCTTGGAAAACCAGGTGGACAAAAGTCAGAATGCTAGAAGAAGCAAAGACCACCAGCATTGAAACAATGCTACTATCCCATCAATTCCACTGGACTGGCCACGTTGTCTGAATGCCCAATCATCATCTCCCAAAGCAGTTACTCTATTCCCAACTCAATAATGGAAAATGAAATATTGGTGGGCAGGAAAAGAGATTTAAAGATCAGCTTAAAGCTAACCTTAAAAACTGTGACAAGAACTGGGAAGCATCCCTGAGTCCCCTTGTGGGAGAAGGGCAGGGTAGAAATGAAGGAAATAAATAAATAGAGTGCTCTAGCTGGATGGCAGCTGTGACCAGTTGTGCTGTGACATTTGAAGAGGCATGAATGGAGGATGAAAGGGGAAGTTCCGTCAAGCCATCCCTGACCGGAACCGCCTTCCACCTGGAAATCTATGCCCTCCCTGTGGAAGAACATGTGGGTTAAGAATAGGCCTCTACAGTCACCTACGTATCCACAGCCAAGACCTTACACTTGGAAGGCCATTGTAATTGGATGAGAGATCGCCTAAGCAAGTAAGTATATACAGAACACATTCCTTTTCTCCAAACACATCCACACCTATTCATGTGAAGGTTTCAAAGTTGGTGACCAGCTGACTCATATGGAAAGGACGAGGAGGTATTCAACTTCAGTGCCTGAAATTTTCATTTTGCAGCCTGATTTACTCAAGACAATTGTAAGAAGACAACACAGGTATAGAGAAAGAGGAACTGGGGAGTATATTTTCTACCAATAAACTATGCAACACAATAACACACCTTTACTATCCAAACTGATACACTTATCACTAGGTTTGTGCAATTTGGCTGGAGGGCTATCTGTTTTTGTTATCCAAATTTAATTGGGTACCCAGATCCATTTTCAGGAGCCTCCCGAAAATTGGCTAATAGAAAAATCTGTTTTCAGCTAGGCAGCTGAAAGATCCATGAAGAACTGACCAATTGGGGACAATGGGGAACTTACAAGGCTCCTCTTTCTATTCCTGGGTTCCTTTCCTTTCTTCCTTTGAGGAATGGGGTTAAGGAAGTACTCTTCCCGAGACCCTTTTCTTTCTTCATTTTGAGGGAGTCTGGATTTGAGGAACAGGGTCAAGGAAGCATCCTTCCTGGACTCTTTTTCTTTCTAACTTTCAAGGGAGTCTCAGTTTGAGCAAGGGCTGAGTAACCATGTGCCGCATACTCCCAAGTAGAAGGGAAGAAGCCAAGATCAGTAGCCACGTGGGCCATTTTGGGCAAAAAAACCTATGGCAGCTGAGCCCTTACCGTTACAGCTGAAGGAAACGGATCCGTGCATGTCTACTTATCACTAGTTGGGAGACTTTACAGGATTCACATAACAGTGTGAAATGTACAACACATTCTAGTATCAATAGCCCAATTGGTCCAAAATGAGGAACATGTGTGTATTGATGTCTTATCATTTCTTTATCTTTATATAATGAATGGATACATTGATATTCTAACCCTGCTCCCACAAAATAGACATTTAACCATCCTGTAAGTATGTCAGAAAACAACCGCACAATATGATTTGGCACTGATGTTTAACGGATAAATTTATTAGATAAGTTTCACTTTTTATTAAATTACAAAGTTTTCATATTTCTTAATGACTATAATCAAAATAAATCAGAATATAAATCTGTGTCTTGTCAGTTGAACAATGTTGTTTACATCCTATTTCTTGATTAGATAATAACCCATAAAATTGACATCTAAAGCAAAGTGGATTTCCACATTTGGTTTACACAATACTTTCCATGATGAAACAAGTACCGTGAAGTGGTTATGAAGTCAGTTCAGAAACGTATGTGTGCATTATTTTCCAGAAATCAAAGGCAGAGTAAGTCAAAGTGCTTTTAAGTTTCTTTTTTTCCATTCAAAGTGAGAATTAAGCATGTGATCAATACTTTCAGGTTATCACTTATAAGGGCTTTTCCGAGGCTGGATCATGCCCTGATATTTTTCATGACAGCTTTAGTTTATTTCTGTCACATTACTTTCAGTAATATTAGTTTTCTTGGCACTTATGGTCTAAATGGATGTGTTGTACTGCAAACCTCATCATCCCCAGCCAAGGAGCATACAGGGATGATGGAACGTACTCTTGAACACATCTCTGACCTGACTGATGTTGGCAGGGTACCCACATACATTCTTAAGCATTACAGAGTTTCCATATTTCTCCCGTATGCTGTGAATGGCAGACATTGTAGAAGATCACAACATTAAATGGACGGATATGTTCAGAGATACTGCATGCATGATGACATTCTGGTATGTCGTGTTTCTACTTCTAGTGCTTAAAAACATTCACAAGAAGTGCATTCATGGTATGATACAAAATAGGGTCACTTCTGAATTTTCATTTAATGTGAGGTATACGCTGGGTATCAAAGCACGTTTAATTTTAAGGCAGTTGTGAAACAAGTTAGGGAGATTCGCTTTCCCATTTATTGGCTCAAATGACATAGAAAAAAGGTGCTATTTTCTCTAGCTCTAACTGGAATAATTAGTAAACAAAACAATATAAACTGGTTGGAATTCAGAGATCTTCTTTGTACTGAAGTCTTTTGGGCGGACTGGAGTTTTTATTTCTTTTTTTTTTCAGATAAACAGAAGGCCCTATATCTTATCACAAATATCTTTGGGGAGTTCTACTTATTTCAAAAGTGTTTTGCCATGTGTGAAGGGAAGGTAACCCAAACAAGAGACCAAAGTCCTAAACCCCTTTTGGTGACTGGAGTACACTCTGATGGGCTTTGGATTCTAGCGAGGATTACCAATTAAAGCAAACAATTAATTATTATCCCCCCAAAATTATTAAAGAAGTAGCAAAATGTCTTACCAAAGCTAGTCTTCACTAACAAAGATGCAGTGCAAAACCATATACCTGAATGGCAATAAATTGTGATTTTTCATTACATTTACAATTGTGGCACAGGAGGGACAAATACAGATTTTATGAATTCAGTGTGGCTTCCAGTTTTTTGTTTTGTTTTACATTTCATGATTTCTCATTCATTATTCAAAGAGGTCAGGCCTAGGCTGGTTAAAATGATCCTAAATATATATTCTGAGGCAATTTTAGGAATGTAATCTATTGTACACGTTTCTTCATCAGCTGCGCCTTTAGTTCTTTGCCACACTAGCCACAGCTTTCTTGGCCGCGTCTTCAAGGTCACTTGCAGAGGTGATTGGAAGTCCGCTTTCATTTAGAATGCGCTGGGCTTCATGGACATTTGTCCCTAGGGAAAGAAAGGTGGGAAAATGTTATCAAATATACACTTTTCAGTTCATGAAAGCCTGAGAGAGAAAGAATTGGGGTCTCGTTTCAGGACAAAACTGAAAGGGATAATAAAGATCAGGCACATCTTGGGCATGACTGGGGGCACCACAAAAAGAGATGACAATATTGGAAGGACATCAGGAACAACATGAGAAACTGTCGGCGAACCTATTCTATTCTGTATTACTTGTGACTAAAATATTCTTTTTTTTTAAAATGTGTTAAACCAGAAAATTGTGAATTGAAATGTAATTTGGATGACCATGAGACATTTTGCAAAGTAACAATAACTTGAGATGTCTTGAAGGAAAGGGATAGCTTGGGTTATTATTGTTCACTAGCCATCTTCTGCCATGTGTTGCTGTGGCCCAGTCTGTGTATATGTGCTTTGTGTGTATATATATGTGTATATATTTGTGTATGTGTGTATATACATGTGTTTGCATATGTATTGCAATGTATTTTTATTTTTGGGCTTTTTAATTCCCTTCTCCTATGTTTTCCAGTGTTTTTATGAGTGATCGTCACTCGTTGGCCTGATAGGTGTATTGTGTCCAAATTTGGTGTCAATTCATCCAATGGTTTTTGTGTTATGATAATCCCACAAACGAACATAACATTTTTATTTATCTACATTGACATCTGGGTGGTTATTGGAAGGGCGGTCCTATACACGCTGTTCCTTCTTGGGAAGATGACCGCGGTGTGTTTTGTGGTAGAAATAAACCAGGAGAATATGTATTCGTACGAATATAGAACATGATAGCATTGATATAGCACTGATAAAGAACACAAAGAACATGATTTTGTTGTTTGTTTTATTCCAATAATATGCAGTTGTCCCTTCATATCCAAGGATTCCATTATCCATGGACTAAAAATATTAATCCAAAAGCAAACCTTGATTTTCCATTTTATATAAGCAAAACAATGTAATACACCATTATATACTAATGTTCTTGAGCATCCATGGATTTTGGTATCTACAGAAAGTCCTGAAGCCAAGCCCCAGCAGATAACAAGGACTCAGTGTAAGTTACTTGTGTCTGAGGACTCTAGATTTGCTAACAAAGTGAATAATAAACAGAAGAATCAATGACTGAGACCCTATGTCAAGCTTCATCCATACAATTTGGTATACTTGGCAACTTTCAAATCTTGCTTCTGCTCACTGGGTTTGGGATGGGAGGCTATTCAGACAATGAAAAAGCAGCTGATGTCAGCTCGGGGATGAGGGGAGGGGTATGGTTGCATCTTCCCTTTCCTTTTCCTGACAGCCCAGAGTAATTGACTATTTGTTGTATGTACTGCATCCCCCCTGCCAGGAGAAAGTTTGGACAAAGAGTAAAGGGCCAGATAATAGGGACCACTGCTTGCATGTTTTATTAGCAGAACAGCAGCAGAAAACAACCTTGCCCCTTCCTCAATATGACATCCTTTCAAATATTAACTTGGCTATCATGCCATCTCCCACCCCCAAAATTCTGTTCTCTAAGCTAACCATACACAGTCCCCTAAGATGCTCATCAAGTGGCTGGGCAGACCTTTCATCAGTTTGGTTACTCTCCTTTGAAAACCTTCCAGCTTGTCAATATCTTTCCTAAACTGTGGTGTCCAGAATTCATGGTATTCTGGGTGCATCTTCTGAGTAAATGTACAATCAGAGAATCATAGAGTTGTGAGAGACCACACAGGCCATCCAACCTAAACCTCCTGCCCTGTATAAAAATCACAATCAAAACATCCCAACAGCAAGTTCTTCTAAATGTTCAGGTGGAATCTCCATTCCTGTATTTGAACCCATTGCTCCAAATCCTAGTTTCCAGAACAGCAGAAAACAAGCCTGCTCCCTCTTCCTTATGACATTTTTTCAAATATTTAAACATGGCTATCATGTCTCCTCTCAACCCTCTCTTCTGCAAGTTAAACATATCCAGCTCTTTAAGTTGTTCCTCACACCTTTCTAGACCTTTTACCCTCCTCTGTACACCTTCCAGCTTGTTAATACCCCTCTTTCATTGTGCTGCATAGGATTGAACTAGAATAGTCATATTCACTGACACATACCTCGAGGTAAGAATTTTAGCCTTTGTCTTTTTTTTAAAGTCATAAATTAAAGGAGACATTTCAGGGAAGTGTGCGTTACACTCTGTCAAATTCTCTCCAAAGGCGCATGCATAGCTAAATGAGAAGAGATTAATTAAAAGAGATGACTGATTGCAGCTCACATCCTGTAGTTCTTTGTTCATTAACACTGCAAAAAGGCAAGCCTATTTGAAATGTTCTGGCAGAAAGATCACAAAAAAATTATCTCTTGCTCAGAAGCTTCCCTCTGTGTTTTTTGATGCTCTACATTTGAGCACCCTCTGACAATCATGACACCTTTCACTTGGCAGGCGACAAGGCGTTGTGCAAGCAAAGGTCTATCAAAAATCAAGACAGTTCTCCTGTTCCTTGCTGGCCACACTCTGGAAGCTTTTGTAACAATGAACACAGAATGTCAATAAAGAACATCACATGTGTGCAGATGTGTTGAAGATGTAGAAACCGAAGACCTTCTGAGCGGGGAGCTCTCATTTAGACTGTGGGTGAAATATTTTATACACGTATTGAGTCGATCACTGGAGAGAGGGCAATTGCTGCCTCTTCCATTCCCGAAGTGAAGGAAATCAGCTGGAAGATGTTCGGTGCCTTACTGCATAACGCAGAACAGAAGGCTTTTCCTCAATAAGTGAGAGTGGCAGATAAGTTGAAATGTCTGGTTGAATCAGAAGCAGCAAGCACCAAAAATGAATGTTCATTGAAGAAAAGCTTCTAAACTGCTCAAGGGTTTATCTGAGGCTTGATTCAGCTAAGCATAACACTATAGGCAACACATCAACTACTGCACATAGTGCTTTTGGTGTGAGGGGTGAGAGGCACTCCTGTAGCTGTTGGACTACAAAGCCCATCACGTCTCACAACTGGTTGTGACAGTTAAGATTGCTGTGAGTTTAATCTCAACATGATTTGGATCACCACAGCTGGCCTTCATTATGCCCCCACTAAGTAATCCTGACCATTGCGAAGTAAGGCAGATTATCTCTTCTTATTTTATATTTATTTATTAAAATATATCTGAAAATCTAAGGGTGGCATACAGAAAATCAATTTGAAACAACAAATAATTGCACAAGTTTAAAATGTGTTAAATCATTTGCCAGAAATGTTAAAAATTAACTAGATATTTTAAATACAAAAATGTGAGTCAAGCACTGAAAGGGTTAAATGGATGCTAGGACTCAGCAAAAGGTGCCGTTCAATATAAGTAGGTGTGCCTGTAGCTTAGTACACCTCAGTGTTTGTTTGTTTGTTTATTTATTTACTGTATTTGTATACTGCCTTTCTCAACCCGTAGGCAACTCAAGGCAGTAAACAGGGTAAAATTCAATGCTTACAATATCATAAATACAATTAAAAATGTAACATATAATATAAACGAAACATAAATCCATAGTGTCTCCTTGTTTAAAACATTGTCCGGTCTCATTGTCATCATTCCATTTTCCTATGTCAGTTATTCTGCATTTGGAAACGCCACATTCTTGACTTTTTTCCAGAATGTTAAAAGGGAGGTGACCAATCTAATATCTATAGGAAGGGCATTCAATAGCTGAGGGTCCACCACCGAGAAGGCTGTCTCTCGCCTCCGCCAAATGTATTTGTGATGAAGGCGGTAATGAGAGCAGGGCCTCCCCAGATGATCTTAAGATCCTAGATGGTTCATAAGGGGACATGTTAGTTCGGACTTGTAAATTGGGCCAGAACTGTTTAGGGCTTTATGGGCTAAAGCCAGCACTTTGAATTGTGCCTGGCAGCAGACTGGCAGCCAATGGAGCTGGTGCAACAGAGGAGTTGTACGCTCCCTCTCAGATAAGCCTGAGTATGAGAAGGCTCCTGTTTTAGTTTGCCTCACTATGAGAACGCCTCACTGTGTGAGAAGCCTGGTGTGAGAAGGTTCCAGTGAGAGAAGCCCCAGGTTGATGGCCTTATGTGTAAAGTTCCAGTGTGAAGGCTGCTGTGTATAAAAGGCTACTGTGTGACGCTCCTGCGTAAGTTTAGTGTGAGAAAAGGCTCTGTGAGAACGAAGCTTTTTATCTGCATGAAAAAGAAGTTCAGCGTGGAAGGAAAGAAGGAAGCATAATGAACTTTATTTGTGGTATGGAAACCTTGTTCTTGTAAATAGTGCAATCATATTATTTTGCTATAAAGAAAAGCCTCCAAAGGAAGATATAATATTGGTCTATGTGTTTTTGTCCTTTTTATCACTTTTGGCTACTGATGCAAGGTCATGCTGCTGCTAATAATTTACTCTGCTGTACATTTATGAGGAGGGTCTTTTGTTAATAAGCACACTCAGCCAACAATGTTTTTCTGTTTAAAAACAGACAGTTTAAAACTGGTTAAAATTATCTTGAATAATATAATTATAAAGCAGGTTCTGCCTGAATAAAATCAGGTTGGCATGAAGGCTCAAATAACAATAATAAAGTTTTAACTTGGTGTTGACATGGTTCTAACATTGGTGCTTAATGAGCCTCTTAAACTTTAATGGTCTCTATGTGTGCCCCCGGTGGCGCAGTGGGTTAAAGCACTGAGCTGCTGAGCTTGTTGATCGAAAGGTCGCAGGTTCAATTCCGGGGAGTGGCGTGAGCTTCCGCTGTCAGCCCTAGCTTCTGCCAACCTAGCAGTTCGAAAACATGCAAATGTGAGTAGATCAATAGGTACCGCTCCGGCGGGAAGGTAACGGCGCTCCATGCAGTCATGCCGGCCACATGACCTTGGAGGTGTCTGCGGACAACGCTGGCCCTTCGGCTTAGAAATGGAGATGAGCACCACACCCCAGAGTCAGACATGACTGGACTTAATGTCAGGGGACTACCTTTACCTTACTATGTGTGCAATATTTAGAGCAGAATG